ATGATTTTTTTTGTCTTACTGTTTTTTCTAAATTTTGATATGGTCTCTCTTTCTGTTTTTTTTTTCTTTTAATTTTTTTTATTGATGGTTTGTAATTTTTTTTTTTTTCTAAGAGTTTTCTCTAATTTGTGGGGAGTTGTTAAACTTTTTCTCTACACGATGACAAACAATTACTTTTATCATTTGATCACGTGTTATGATACAATTGTTTTTATTTCGCCTGTTGCTTTTCTATAGTTTTGATTGTAATTTAAAGCAATTTCGTTATCTTTAAACTCAACGACGAAGTTGTTGAAAAATAGATTTGTATTTTGCTTTTCTGGATGTTTGTATGTGTGTGCCAAAGCATAAAATTGGTCAACATAAGTGTATTGATGTTCTGTGTAGAAAAGTAGTTGATTATTGTAATATTAACACCCCACAAATGAACATATTGAAAGATTGCAACGTAAGTTGGTTTTGCAGATATCCAATAATTTATGTGCACAGCCATGTGTTGAACTAGATTATAACGGGAGACGCTATTGAATGTTCTATTATTTTTGAGGAATGTACCTGTTTACCGTTATATCGTTATATGAAAGTCTCTTAACACAAAGCGACGAACAGAAATTAGTGGTCCGTTTGCTTTCTTAAAAAATGGTTGTACAATTTTTCCCTTTCACTCAACACCCCCTCCTTTATTTTGGCTCTTAAAACCAATATTTTTCTGAACAGTTTCTTTAATGTTATTTATCTTTCTTTTTTAATAGTATATTTATGATATGATTTTTTTTTTTGTCTTTCTGGGTTTTTTTTTTCTAAATTTTTGATATGATCTATCATTCTGTTTTTTTTTATTATTTTCTTTGCTATGATAGGATTTTAAAAGTTAATAGAATTGATTACATGACCTCTAAGACCTAACCATGTTTACCCGGGATATTCCAACCATCTAGTCAATTATAATCACTCAAATTACCCGCAAAAAATACTTGCATTTTTCAAATTGAACTAGGTTCAATAAGGTTAAGCAACTGAAGTACAAAAAGAAATTTATGACGTAAATATACCCGTATTAATATTAATACGTCATTTCCCAAACCGATCGTGGTCATGGTTAAATTGATTAGGATAAAAAATACCAGCATTGAATAATGACTAATATTCTATTGTGACTGTACTCCTACAAACCACATTAACTTTATACGTCATGACATACCACTTCGTTTATATAGCCCCCCTTTTGTTTTCAAAGTTTAATATTTGTTGTATTTAATTTTTTTTTAAATATTTGTTGTATATGATTTCACATTGTTTCTTATATACAATTTATTTCTTTTTTTTACACGATTTTTATTTTCTTTAAAAAAGTTTTTTCTTTACACGAATTTTATTTTCTTTACATAAAATTTATTTTATAAAAAGCAAAAACTATGAAAAAAATATCAATTACTTCCAAAACAGTTGACTAAAAGCTAAAATGTAAAATATAAGAACTATTTAAACACATTTGATGACTTATTCAAAGCACAATAAAAGTATAAATGACTTTTTCAAAAATAAAAAGAAAAGGTTTGAAGAAATGTAAATGAAAACGTTAAAAGCAGAAAAAAGCAGCAACGTAAATATGTAAAAAAAAAAGCCAAAAAGAAATAAAACGTTAATAATTAAATAAATAAATAAAGATTCTAAATACGTAAAATAATACTTAAACAGAAAAATTAATACTATGCTTTTCATCAACACTACTACGTTAACACCTTTGAAAGTAACATATCAAACAATAACCACTTAATTTCAAACACTTCAAAGAATATTACCATATGGTAAATAAATAATAGTTAAACATTATGAATAGGAAACATTTAATAATTTTAAAAATTTAGAACATATACTCAAATTATAATTTGGATTTTTATGCTTGTCAATATGCATGGTCATGGAAATTTTTTCAGTCAAGCCAAGAAGCTATGCCCACTTGTATCATCAGAAAGAATTGTTAATTGAACAACTGTATTTTCTTTGGGTATATTCGTTTGATATGCTGTTGAAAGTCTTCCAACAAGTTCAGACTTTCCAAAGGGTTACGTAACTCATCAACGCAAAATAATTACCATTGGCCAAACGGAAATTGTAATATGTTTCTCTTCCTTCTAATTGGTCTTAATTGTATTATGTTGTAGTGTATTTGCCAATGATAGACACAACTTATTGGCAAATACACTACAACATATGTTGTAGTGTATATTGGCAAATACACTACAACATATGTTGTAGTGTATTTGCCAATAAGTTGTGTCTATCATTGGCAAATACACTACAAAATAATACAATTATGTTGTAGTGTATTTGCAAATGATAGACTCAACAACTTATTGACCTATGGCCTAATCCCTTAATAAAATGCAGTACATAAAGACATAAAGATCAGATCAACTATTCACAAGAGCCCAAACATTTGATTAGGCATTAAGTCCGGAAACATAGGCTACCGTCTTTTAACATTTCAGGTAAGATGAAGTCACTATTGTTCGCACATTCGCTATAATAATGAAACACTTTGATACTATTCGAATAGTTATGTGTGACAATGTTACATAACAACTTGAAACAATGGATATTAAAAATAGATATAAAACCAATTAGTAGACCTTTGTGAATAAAAAGCATTTGACTAATACACAGAAGCAGGATAGTAAACTAGATTTGGCATTATACAAAATATAGGTCAATGAATAAAAACATACGTTTAGCGATAGTATATTCGTGTTTAATTGTAATGTTATTTCTGGGCGACCTTTCGTTCTACTATTATTCAGATGTGTAACATTTCATCGTGAAATACGTCTTTGAAGTAGCCACTACCCCTATAATAACATTATGCAACCGGATACATTTTTATAAGCATTTCCAATTAGTGTAGGGACTATGCTTATGGGTTTTTAGGCCTTTTTTTTAGATAGGGGCATTATGACGTCATATACCAGTACTTTCGAAGTCTTGAGAAAACAAATATCGGGCATTTCTCCACAACATTACACATAAGCAACTAGGCCTATATGTTCATGGTATAATTATGTATGTTTGAATATTGTGAATAATTTCTATGCTAGATTTCGGTTGGTTATTTCTTGTTATTATTATATTTTAGATATCAATATATTTTATCTATTGATTTCAATCAAGTTGGAAACAAACATTGAATAATGAAGGTAAGTTCATAAGTCATCATCTATGAGTACTTTATATATATTGTATTGTACTGTATATAGTTTATTTTGCGTATTATGTATTATTCCTAATGATGCTTAGCGAAACGTAGAATAAAATGGCCTTGTCATTTTTTTTTCGGACTGACAATCTTATTATTTATACTTAAACTCAGTGCACATCCTAAGGTATTGCATTATTCTATAAACTTCCTATTGCAGTAAATAGAATTATGGATTAGTTTCAAAACAACTTTGACAATGTGTTCGATAGTACTTTCTTCTCTTGATGTTTTGTAATTTATATAAGTATAAATGATTGATGGGCACAATAATGATTATTGTAAGTTGATATAGGCCTTCCAATTAAGTTATAAATAACAAATAACCAGTACTTCTGTTAAATACCGTATTTTACCAGAAATATTATTTGATTTACAGCCAATGCTTACTTGCAACGTATGTAACAAAATTTTCCAAACCTACACTGCATAAAGTGTTTCAAAAGGGGCTCATCCTGATGATCTGATTCGTGTGGTGGTAAAATGTCGGGAATTAGATTACCCGATAAAACTTCCATTGATGAAAAGGCGACACTTGACGGCCGACCTATTCCTTGCGAGGGTAGAACGAGTACTGCAGTCGTACGAAGAATTCAGCATCGATGGTACATTAGAAATACATATTACGCACGTACAAATGCCCAGAGGAGGAAAGATTCCAAAAAAGAGATAAGTGGACTTGGAATGCTTCTTTAGAGAGAAAAAATGTATCCTTCGAATTCAAAATAAAGACGAACTGTGTTGCGCTAGAGCGATCGTTACCGCAAAAGCTCAAATTGAAAAACACCAAAAATTGGAGGCCATTCGCAAGGGATGCAAGATACAGCAGCAACTTGCTATAGATTTACACAACACAGCAGGTGTACCTATAGCTTTATGTGGAATCAATGAGATCAAACAATTCCAAAAGTGCTGCCAAAATTTCAAATAATCGTCTCTTCATTAGATTATGCCAATGCAATTATCTACAAGGGCCCACCTGCAAAACAGCAAATCTACTTGTATCACCAGAGCAACTTTTGCCTAGAATGCATGAAAGGATACAACAATAAGATAGAGCATCGGGGTCAAGACACATGTAAACTCTGCTTCCAAGGTAACTGTATCATGGAAAACTGGGTATATTATGATGACTGCAACAGGTCATTTAAAAGTGAAGTGTCCTTTAAAAACCACTTGAAACAACCCTCAACATCTGTTGGCTCCGTGTACAATCAATATGATCGGTGTAGCGATTGTGATAAATTTATTAGCAAAAAAACGACACAAAGGAAAACCACATCAATGTGCTGTACAGGCTGTAAAACATTTGCGCAAAATTACCTTTGCTATATGCAGCCAGTAATACATGAAACAATGCTGGATGAGGATGATGAATCTGACAATGAGGAATTGAAGTTAGTGAGCCCAAGTTACATATTCTTTGACTTCGAATGCATTCAAGAAACTGGAATCCATGAGCCAAATTTTTGTATCGCCCAAAAAGTTTGAAACGCGTGTATGAATGTCGATGAGGGCGTAACTTGTTTAAAATGCGGTGAACGTGAAAAACAATTCCAAGGACCCAACACTCGTGAAGACTTTTGCAAATGGCTTTTCAATTAAGAAAACGCAGGAGCGATAGTGATCTGTCACAACTTTAAAGGTTACGACTCATACTTTGTTCTCCGATACCTTTACGAGAATGCAATCCTACCCGAAGTAATATACAATGGAGCCAAGATTATGAGTATTAATGTAGCAGCCAATGACATGGAATTCATCGATTCTTTAAACTTTCTTCCTATGGCTCTGTATAAACTTCCAGGAGCATTTGGTCTTAATGAATTGGCAAAAGGATATTTTCCCCATCTATTTAATACGAAAGCCAATCAAGAAATTGTACTTCCTCATTTACCTGATATACATTACTATAACCCAGACGGAATGTCACCATCAGAAAGAAAGAAGTTTGTTAAGTGGTATAATGTTCACCACCAAGATGAATTTAACTTTCAGTCAGAGATTTTAAATTATTGCCGGTCGAACGTGGATATACTTCGAAGATGTTGTTTACAGTTCAGATCTATATTTATGAAAATTACCGAGGATGAATCTAGTCTTGGTATAGACCCCTTTTAGCATTGTATTACGATTGCATCGGCATGCAACTTGGTGTACCGTACAAAATACTTATTACCGGACACCATAGGAATCATCCACCCTATGGGGTACCTCTCCAATGATAGGTAATCTACCAAAGCTTTACAATGGCTGAAGTGAATATCTCATCAAAAGGGACAATATATTTATTCAACACGCTGCTAATCATGGCAAAAAACGCATTGGTAATTACAAGGCTGATGGATACTTTGAAGCAAACAATGAGAAAATAGTGCTTGAGTTTTAAGGTTGTCTGCACCATGGACACACTTGTATGGAACGTGAAACAAAACATCCCCTTAATGATTTCACTATGGAGGAACTGTATCAAAAGACCATAGATAAACGTCGGTACATCACATGTCTTGGTTATAAGTATATTGAGCAATGGGAATGCGAATTTGACAGAGAAATAAAACAAAGCTACGAAATTGCTGTGTTTATCAAATCTTTGACCATACCATTACTCTTAGAAGCGCTTGACAGACTCGTATTGTACTACCATACCGACAGTGTGATATACGTCAGTCGAGAAGGACAATGGGAACCACCCATTGGGGATTTCTTGGGAGAACTAACGGATGAATTAGAATCCGATAATCACATCGTCACATTTGTGTCGGGGGGACCAAAAAAATTATTCTTACAAATTGGCCAAGCCAGATAAAAATGGATATTTAACTCATTGTAAAGTTCGGGGAACTACCGTAACGATTTTTTAGTCAACTTTGAAAGTATGTCAAAGATGGTTCAGGGTGTGGGCTCAAAGCAAATCCAAGTCACAGACCCCTCCAATATTGCAAGCAAAAAGAAGAACATGAATATCGAAACACGAGAACAGAAAAAAATGTATCAAGTTGTATACACTAAACGGGTCCCTATAAACAATTATGACACTGTTCCTTACGGTTATTAGTTTTTAATTACCAATACGAACCCATTGTGTACTTGTTTTGATGGTAGAGGTATTTTGGATCTGTATATGAGTTACTTTTGTGTTCTGATAATGTTTTTTCTTTTCTTTCTGAATACAGTTTTTATTTTTTTATTTTTTTGAATTACTATTATTAAAGTACAAGTAAATTTACAAAGAATATTCGCTCCATGTACGATTGAATCTTATAGTTTTGCTATATTATTCATGTTAATTCAATTTGGCTTTCTTATACTAATATTGTACCGCTCTCGATTTCGAACTATTCTTTCTATTCTGTGTCGTTTGTAGATATTGTAATGCAGTTTTATTATGCAGACTAAATGTAAATAAAAAGTTTGTTATCAATTACGAATATGTGTTTTTTTTTTTGTTTTTTTGTTTTTTTTTTGTATATTTGCAAACACAATTGTAGCATTTCTGAAAACAAAAAAAGAGTCAAAACAGAATTTACTACTATTAAAATTTCAAATAAAAGATGTTGTTTGGGCAATACGTTCTGTTTTTATGATCATAGGTTGTTCGGCGTTAAAATATATTTACACTACGCTATTCGTACAAAACTGTATTTATGTATAATTGAAAAATAATACACTTAATTATTTAAGTATAAAAAATAATAATTAATAAAATGTAGTTTTAAACACAAATTCTTGTTGATATTCAAGATTTATTAAATATCTACAACAACAGGCTTGTTACATCCTACCATCAAAATAGAATTTACGACTATTGATACCCTATTTCAACGCATCGGAAGATGCGTGCTATTTGCAATGAATATTCCAGAAACATGTACAATTCTATCATATCAATCAGATATATTTCTTTTTGATATAGCAAACGGACCAGTGATTTCTGTTCGCAGCTTTGTGTTAAGAGACCTGCATATAAAGATATAGCGGTAAACAGGTACATTCCTCAAAAAACAATAGAACATTCAATAGCGTCTCCCGTTATAATCTAGTTTAACACATAGCTGTGCACATAAAGTATTGGATATCTAAAAAAACCAACTGACGTTGCAATCTTTCAATAGGTTCATTTGTTAGGTGTTAATATTACAATAATCAACTACTTTTCTACACAGAACGTCAATACATTTACGTTGACCAATTTTATGCTTTTGCAAACACATACAAACATCGAGAAAAGCAAAATAAAAGCTAATTTTCAACAACTTCATCATATAGTCTAAAGATAACGAAATTGCTTTAAATCAAAACTATAGAAAAGCAACAGACGAAATAAAAAGAATTTCATCATAACACAGCTCTGTTTGCATTCACTTTGAAGTCAGTGGTGATGACAGGCTTTACTACATATGAAAAAAATATTGTTTTAATTCCATTATAAGTTTGAATAAAGAAATCTAGAATAATATTGGTGTACAAAATTCAACAACCGCCAGTGTTTTAACAACACAACAAGTTCAAACACGTTCAACATGACGTCACTGTTTGGCTCATTAATAAAACATCTATGACAAAAAGAAACTGATTACACAAAAGCTGGTCCTCTTCTGTTCCAAAAGATGGTAATGGTAATGGTTGGAGACTTATGTAGCGCATAATACATGGCCTCTAATATTCATACAAAGACCTGTCTAAGCATCGATTGATCGATTTAATTCCTGATTTTATTCAACACACAATAGTTAAAAAAAATTATCGTCTAATGTCCGATTATGTACGGCAAAACTGTGTTACATATATCATACAAAAAAAATACTGAAAGTATCATTTTGACCACGATCAATTAAAACCCAGAGGAAAACATCACCATAGCTCTGCAGTGTTTACTTTTAGTTTTAAACACCATTTAAATCCGTTCTTACAACACAAACTATTATGTTGGCCTATTGACAATAAACCAGTCAAAAAAAAAAATCACAATCATTGCAATGGCCCATCTTTTAGATGTGTTAAATTCAATTGATATTATTTCTGAATTTTAGTCAGCGAAAATATGTACTCGTGCAAATATCCTACAGCGAAACTTTGTCATATCATACAAAAAAAATCCCTAATATAATCCAATCTAATGTTCATAACTACCTAAAACATAAGTATACGTCTGTTTAATAATTAAATAATATACGATTATTGTTTTTCTATCTTTGTTTTTGATCCATATATATAATTCTTTTTTCTCTTTACTGATGTTTAATACTGAACTTTATCATTTGTTTTTAGCTTTGTTTTTCACATAAATTATTGTTCTTTGTAGAATTTTTTATTTACTTGTACTGTATTATGTATGGATGTACCACCGTAAAGGTGTGTACTACTGTTCTGAAAGTGAAGTTCAATAAAATTATGCTAAAATACTGAATACTGAAAGAATCAAATGTCACACAACCAACTAAAAAGCAGAAAAAGAAGCAGCATATAGCTCTGCCAAACTAGCACATGAGGACAACTTTACTATAAAATATTATTCCCATAATAGATTTTAATAAAGAAATCTACAATATGCAACAAATTAACAGCGTGTTTACAACACAAGAAGTTAAGACACGTTCAGCATGACGTCATTTTTGGCTTATCTATAAGACAAGCATGACAAAAGGAAACTGATTACACAATAGTTGATTCTCATTTGTTGTAAAGACTTTTTATTCAGAAAATAATACTGGTATACTTATACATCGTATTTAGGAAAAAAGTTAAATGTATGGTTTTTAATTTTTAGCTAGGGTCAGGGTATTTAGTTGTAGTCCTGCTTGAAATAATTAGGGTTAAACACACCTGCTCTAAAAATGGAATAGGGTTGGGTAAAGCACTGTTCTAACAATAAAATAGGGTTAGGGTTAAAACCCCTAAATCAAAATAAAATATGGTTGGGGTTAAGTAGTCTGCTCTAATAATGAAATAGGTTTAAACACCATGCTCTAAAATGGAATAGGGTTAGGGTTAAGCACCCCTGTACTGAAAATGGAATAGGGTTAAGGTTAAACACCCCTGTACTAAACGAAATATGGTTAGGTTTAAACACCCCTGTACTAAAAAGGGAATAATAGTTTAAACACTTTTATGACTTTGCTTGCTGAGACTATCGCAATCAGAGAACATAACGAAGATACTAACATAATTATTTTAGGGGATTTTAATGGGAAAATTGGTCAAGATATTGTTGGAGGTGATGATACCGTAAATTATAATTTTGCGACAATGGGGATCTAAACATTCTAAATGGTAGCTGTAAATGTACTGGTATTTACACGTGGGTACACAATTGCCGCCACAGTGTTTTAGATTATGCTATTGTCTCACACAACGTATTTAATTTATCAAATGAATTGATTATTGACGATCTCTGCCTTTTCCAATGATTGAGCGACCATAACATATTATTTCTAGACATTATACTCTTAGTACTAACAGAAAACGTAAAGACCCACCATTAAAAAAGAATGTCCGGAATATTCCTGACAATTATAATTGGGAATCATTTAAACATAAAATAACAGGAAAGTTTGAGAACTGTGACCCTGCCCACTTAAATGCGAATGACGCATGGGAGGAATGGAAAACGAAAGTTTTATCAGCAGCGGAAGAATCTTTCGGATCGAAAACACTAAACGGAAAATGTAAATCCTGGTATGATGAAGAGGTCGAAAAATCAATCAAATCTAGGAAAGAAGCTTGTAGGATCCATCGTAAATATTCTATGAATTCACAAGACCCTAACTTTAGCATAGATACCTGTAACTCACTATGGGTAAATTACCAAGAAATGAAAAACGAATGTAAATCAATAATAAAACGTAAAATAATGAAAAATAAAGTAGAGAATTGTTCAAAATTAATGGAAAGAGGAGGACCACAATGCCGTAGTTTCTGGACAGAACTCAAAGGGAGGAAACCCAGAAATTTAATAAACTCAGTCTTAATACCAGGTACAAATAATACAAGCTCTGACCAATCAACGATAAATAATGTACTAAAGACACATTTTAGCTCACTCGCCACCAATAGAAATAGTGAAACAAGAAATGACGATATTCAATTAAATAAACCAAACTGAAATCCCAATCAATGAA